TATCAAAAATTCCTGGATCCGCCTCTGGCCAGGAGACCTTTTATTCGTCCAGTTGCACCATTCTGCGTAATAATTACAAGCTGAATGAACTGATACCATCATGAATATTTACTAACATCACGTAGCGACTCTAGAGGGTCTCAATGCATGAGGCTAACCATCAGCCGTAAAATGGCAAAGAAAATTAGTAAAACTGACAAATTTAACTGTTAGTTATAAAGAAAGTTAACCCTAATTTTTTTTTTATGGTTTGTTCAATTCCTGTTTATTCTTGAAGTCCGGCAGTGGCGTTGGTGATAAAAACCTATATTAAAAGATCTTTATCAGTTAAATTTTTATGAATAGTTTGATCTTTCTCTCCGAATTCTAATGCATGCGACGAAAGTTGGACTCATCTCTAATTACGAACTAAATTGTTAGCTTGAGGGTGTTCAGTACGCCTTTCGCAGCAGTTACTGATATAACTCTTGAGATTTAAACCAAATACTTTAAATATGGACAAAATAAAACAATCATGGAAATCAGCTCCGGGCAACTTAAGAGCTTTTAGTTATCTTGGCAATTCGAAAATCGTGGAAAACTCGCAATTAAACGTGGTATTATCCAAGTTACCGGCCTGGAGTTGTATTTCAGAATACCTCCTTGATAATCCATTGTCTCTTTCCCAAACTCATATCCATGAACGAGAATATCAAAGCTGCTCTGGTAAAAAGGGAGTCTAACCCGTTCAAGTATTGAAATGATATCGTAGGTTGACCGTTTAACATTTCACGTGATTGCAGAGTGCAGTAAAGAGAAAAAGCGAGTTGTGGGTCAGCTAGTGTTACTTTTAATAGAGGGTCTCAATGGCGTTAACTGTTAGCCATTAGAATTAAAACAATTAAGTCATTAGGCGTAAAAATTGACAACTTTTTAACCGCTATTCGTTCAAAAAAGTTAACAGTCAAAATTTTCTTTCAACAGTCAAGGAAATAAAATTAACTGTTAGCCGTAAAATTGCCAAACTTTTAACCGTTAGGCGTAAAAGCCATCACCCCATTGACACCCCCACACTAATGCACCGATGCTCGTGCATAAGTAATAATAAATAAATAAACAAATAAAATAAAATTGTGGATTTATATTGCGCAGTTTCCATGACGGGATGATCAACTGCGCATTACAACAATGCATGGAATAAATACTAATTACATCATTACAACAACGCTTTGTAATAGATACCAGTTACATCATGTGTAGTATAAAATATTAAAAGCTAAGCTAAGAATAAAAAGCCTTACTAATAAAATGCGTCTTAAAGAGTTTTTTAAAAGTGTCGACAGATTTAGCCATTCTAATTTCCAAAGGTAAATCATTCCAGAGTTTCGGCGCTGAAGCAACGAAAGCACGGTCGCCTAGGGTTTTTAAAGTTTTAAAATTCGGGTATGATAGCAGTATTCCGTCATTAGAACGTAGTCCATATCTTGAATTTAAAGGCTTAATTTTGACAAGATCATTGATATAGGACGGTGCGGATTTGCGAATGGCTGTGAAAGTTAAAAGTAGAACCTGAAAATTAATACGAAATGAGACAGGAAGTCAATGCAGCTGACGGAGCACCGATGTTGTGTGGCAAAATTTGCCTTGCATAACAACAAGTCTGGCGGCTGCGTTTTGAACTCTCTGCAGTTTGTCACAATATGGCACTTGGGCACACCGTATAATAGACTATTACAGTAGTCTATTCGGCTACTAATAAAGGAGTGAATAAGAGTGGCAGCTGAGTCCATTGAAAGGTGTTTACTTATACATCTAATATTGTGTAGGTGATAGAAAGCAGCACTGCATATTTTGGTAATGTGTACGGCCATAGTGAGTTGATCATCGAACCACGCGCCCAAATTCCGTACCACAGACACTTTGCCTACATCGCAGTCTCCGACCCTGATAGTATTAACAGCAGCTTTTTTCAGGAAGTGTCGTGATGCTATTACAATAAATTCAGTTTTGTCGTCATTAAGCATAAGTTTGTCCGTGGTCATCCACTGCTTAACATCCGAGATACAGGTTTCCATTGATCTAATTGCCTCGTCTTGACCAACAGCACAGCTTGGGTTGAACGATAAATAAAGCTGGGAGTCATCTGCATAACAATGAAGTTTTGGAAGGTGACGACCAACAATGTCGAAGATTTTGCTTGAGTATATGTTAAACAAAACGGGGCCTAGACACGATCCCTGGGGAACGCCGTAGCGAAGATGAAAGACATTTGAAAGCGCTCCCTGAACAGATATTCGTTGTGATCTTCCGGCTAGATAAGAGCGAAACCACG